CACATAGCTCCCAAATAAACAGAGATTTAATAGGGGAAATGCCGGAGTTTTGTCGAGGTTAAAGGTCACACAGTTGATGGTGGAGCTGGATTACAAGCCAGGTCTTTTGATGCTGCAGCATACTGAGCAAGCTCTTTATTCTTTCATATGGGGTAGCTATTACCACAACAATGCTGTGTAACAAAACACTCCCTGGGGCACCTGGGTGGCTCAGTCTGTTGGGCATCTGACTCTTGATCTCAGCTCAGGTCTTGATCTCAGGAGTGTGAGTTCAGGCCCCACGTTGGGTTCTGCCCTGGGCATGGAGCTTACTTAAAAAAAAATTTAAAAATAAAAAACCAAAACCCAAAAAACAACACTCCCAAACCCAGTGGCTAAAGATGGCCATTAATTATGATCGTGTTCACAGGTGTGCAAGTGTGGTGCACCTCCGCTAGGCTGGGCTGGTTTCCAGATGCCAGGCTCCGGCTCCAGGTCCCGGCTACTGTTTGCATTCAAACCTGTTCTATATATTGTTCATCTTCCTTGGCCCCACAGGGGGCATGAGATCTGCTCCACCTGTCTCATTCTGGGGCTCAGCCTGAAGGAGCACGTTCTTCCATGGCGATCGCCAGAGCTCAACAGGGCGAGTCCAGCTGGGTGAATGCATTTGAAGCCTCTGCCCACTACATGGCCACGAATATTCCATTGTCACAGAGTTACACGGTCCAGCCCAAGTCAAAGAGTGGGGAACTACCCTCCATGCACCATAAGGCTGTAGTCAGGGCAGATTTAGAACTCTATGATAGGAGAGGGAAAAATCGAGACCAGTAACTCACACCGTGCACCTGGTTTAAATTAGAGGCATGCAACATGGGCCCCAGGATCTTGAAAGCATCGTTACTGCCTTGGACTCATACCTGCTCAAGTGTTTTTGGATGATCTGAGGAAGAGGAACGCTTGAAGTGAAGCTAAAGAAGGCTTGTCTCCTTACTCCATTTTTGCTGAGATATTTGAATAAGCGGGGTGATTTCCTCTGCCTCCCTGATGCCCTAAAGGGGTATCATTCAGTCGCTGAGTGTAAAAAATGGTGCTGGCTGGTAGTCCTGGGTTTCCCAGTGCAGGGCTGGGGAGCCTGTGCGGCATCTCTGTAGGGGCTCCTTGAGGAGTCCAGAGAAGGCCCTGGTTGGTACCCCAGCACTGTCAACACCCCTCCAATAGGCTGAGCTATGCAGAATGATGGATAGAGCATATGTGAAGTCACAAAAGTGGGATGCAACCCAGTCGCTCTCCAAATACCCACAGCGACAGAGGTAAGTCTAAGCTTCTCTCCGTACGGCTCCCTGGAAACACCCCAGTCCCCTTCCCTGCCACCAGAAGCAGCAATGTGCGTTCACAGGGGCCAAATCCCCAGCTGCCTGAATGGACCTGGACTGTGAGGCCGCTGGCCCCTAGGATGGGGCTGGGGCTGGGAAGGATTACAGTTCTGCCCCTACTGGGGGCCTTTGGTTTTCTTTAACTTTTTATTCTGAAACATTCCCAAACATACAGAAAAGCAGAGATAGTAGAATATTAAACTCCCAAACACGCACCACTTAGACTTAACATTCTAACATTTGCTTCATCTATTGGTAACTAATATCACCACAATACTATTATCACGCCAACATTAGTATTTCATTGCTCAACATCTTCTAGTACCCTAATTTCACCCCAGTTTTCTCAAAAAAGCCTTTCTACGGTCGTTTGTTTGAATTAGAATTCTACACTTTGCATTTGGTTGGCATGTCTCTTTAGATTCTTTCAATCTGTAACACTTGCCCCTCCTTTTATTTTTTAAAAAGGAATTAATTAATTAATATGAGAGAGAGACATACGTGTGTGGGAGGAGGGGCAGAGGGGGAAGGAGAGGGAGACAAGCAGACTCTGCACTAAGGTCAGAGCCCAGAGCCTGGAGCACACAGGAGGCTTGCTCTCACATCCCCGAGATCATGACCTGAGCTGAAACCCAGAGTCTTAACCAAATGAGCCAACCAGGCACCCCTTGCCCCTCTTTTTAAAAAGTCATTCCTTTGTCAAAGAAACATGATCATTCGCCCTATAAAAAGTCCAGCATTCTGGCTTCGACTGATTGTATTCTTGTGGTATGTGTTTGGCACGTTCCTCTCTCCTCGATGTTTCTGTACACTGGACTATCTAGAGGCTTAAGAAGATTCAGACTGAGCGTTTGAGGAAGAATGGCATCGTGAGTGATGCTGTGTACTGGTGGGCACCATGTCAGGAAGACGTTCTGTCCGTTTGTCTCATTTTGAGTGATGTTAAGACTGACCAATTGGTGCAGGTGCTGGAGTCTAACTTATTCTAGGGTTCTCCATGAATCTTTTCAGTTTTAGCAGCCACTGAGGTGGTATTCTAATTTTTTCATTTCCCTTGCTTTTATTAGCTCTATAAAGAGGAAAGTTCTCACATCAACTATTTGATTATCTTGAAGATGAGTTTTACAGGAAAGGCATGATAAGTGTTTGATTCTTTCTCTTCGATGATCGGTTTTCCAAGTTACACAGTCAACGTGATGGATAACCATCGTAATGTAGAGTTAGGTTTATTCTTTAAGTTTGGTGTGTAATTAAAAAAAATTTAGAGATACTTTGACTTTTTCTCATTTTTATTTACTTGATCTCAAGTCAAAACTATAAAACAGGGTATTCAGAAAGGTCCTTCCTAGCTGTGTCTGCCTCCCTTGTTTTTATTAGCTTTGGGGGAGTCCTTCCAGTATTTCTTTTTGAAAAGATAAACAAATACATACATATGTGTATGTGTGTATTTCCCCCTGTTCTACACAAAAAGTAGCAAACGATGCGCTCTGTTCTATATCCTCCCTTAGCAATATGTCTTGGAAATTGCTCCATAACATCATTTAGCGATAATCTTCATTCTTTTATAGCTGCATGGTACTCCATTGTATGGATGAACATAATCTTTTCAGCATATTCCCTATTGATCAATATTTGGGCTATTTCCAGTTTTCTTTTTGCTCTTACAAATAATACACCAGTGAATGGCCCGGTGCCCTATATCATTTTTTATTTCTTTCAGTGTGCTTTTGGGACAGATTCCTAAAAATGGGATTACTGGACCAAAAGGTAGATGCATATGCAATTTTGCTAGATACTGCCAAATTCTCAATAGAGGTTGCGTATTTTTGCCTTTCTATCAGTATTATATAAGAGTGCCTGTCTCCCTAAGGCTTCTCCAACAGAGTATGTTGTTAAATATTAGAGTTTTGCCCATATGATAGGGCAAAGAAGTGGTGTCTTGTTTTAGTTTTAATTTTAGTTTTAGTTTTAATTTGCATTTTTCTGTTTTCATAGGTTCAGTAGCTGTTTGCATTTTTCCCCCTGGGAACTGTCTATTCACATCTTTCACCCATTTTTCTACGTTGTTGTTAGGGATATTATTAACTCTTTGTGATATAGGACAAAAAATGGTTCCCCAGTTTAGCATTTTCCCATGTTTATGGTTTTTTTATATGAACACATTTAAAAGCTTTTTTTTAAAAATAAAGATTTTATTTATTTGAGAGAGAGCAAGCTGGGAGGGAGAGAGAGAGAGAGAGAGAGCACAAGCAGGGGGAGGGGCAGAGGGAGAAGCTGACTCCCCGCTGAACAAGGAGCCCGACGAGGGCCTTGATCCCAGGACCCTGGATCACGACCTGAGCTGAATGCAGACGCTTAACCGACTGAGCCACCCAGGTGCCCCTAAAAGCTTTTTTTTTTTTTTTTTTTTTTATAGTAAGTTTACCATTTCCCTCATTGCTTCTGGATTTCTAGTCATAATTAGGAAAATGTTTTTCCAGTCCCAAGCTATAAAGATTACTCATATTGTTTTCATTTTTACAATTAGATTTCTCATTTAAATGCAGTTTCTCCCGGTGTACAGTGTTTGTCTGGATCCAAATTTATCTTTTTCTGTATGGCTATCCAGTTGTTCCACATGACTTATGAAATATCGTTCTTTGCCTCCACTTACTTGAAATCCTGTCTTTATCACAAATTCATTTTCCATAAGTACTTGGGTCTATTCCTGGATTTTCAATCCATACACCAGAAATAGCTATATCCATATGCACCAATACTACACTGTTATAATTATAGAGGCTTCAAAATATGTTTAATATCTTATAAGGCTAGGACTCCTTATTACTCTTTTTTTTTCTAGTTTTCTTTATTCCTGGCTATGTTTACTAGCTTCCTTCCATGTGAATTTTATAATCAACCTTTAATGCTCCAGGAAAAAAAAAAAGATGGTATTTTGGGAGGGGAGAATCGCATTAAATTTATAAATCAACTTATGGAGAATTGACATTTTTACAATGTTGAACTTCTCCACCAAGAACATGGTATACACATCAATTTGCTGAAGTGTACATATTTGCATTTCAGGAACTTTAAAAATTCTCCTCCTATAGATTTTACACATTTCTTGTTAAGTTTATGTCTAAATATTTTATTTCAAGTTTTGCTGTTATACATGGAGTCTGCTCTTCTGTTTCTTTTAACTTATGATTTTTTTATATTTATGAAGATGACTGGTTTATGTGTATTGATTTTTTTAAAGATTTTTATTTATTTGAGAGATAGCATGAGTGGGGGTAGGGGCAGAGGGAGAAGGAGAAGCAGACTCCCTGCTGAGCAGGGACCCCAATGTGGGGCTCGATCCCAGGACTCTGGGATCATGACCTGAACTGAAGATAGATGCTTACCCGACTGAGCCACCCAGGTGCCCATGCATGTCCGATTTTATTATCTTGCTACTTTACTAAATTCTCATTGTTTATAGCAGTTTCTCCATATTCTTTTTGGCTTTTTCAGATATACATACAGTCATATCAGCAAGCAGATAGATTTTCTTTCTTTTCTGGTTATTATGCGTCTACTCGCATTCTCGTATCTAGTTGCGTTGGCTAATACCTCCAACACATGTGAAATAGTCACTATGTGCTATTTTAAATATGCTGTTGGTTTTTATTTCTAGTATTTTATTTAGGATTTTTCTGTGTTCATAGGTTGAGATTGATGGGGCCTGTTTTTTTAAACCATTCTGTGGTACAGATGGCGTGTCACCTATGAACTACAAAGAGGCTCATGAACTTCCCTTTGCATCTTCCTCTCTCTTTTCTTCCACACTGGCTGGTTGGTTGTCACCCTCTTTGCCTCCATTGTCCATTGCTTTTTCAGTCCTTTCCATTCACCCTCATGTTTGCTTTCCATTCTTTCTCCTTCCTGGAGATCAATGAAGTTTGGTGGTTTGGGGGGCAGTGAAAGTGCCTCAGACTCTCACGGACCAACCTCGCATTGGATCACAGTTCAGCCACTCACCAGTTCTCTGACTTTGGGCTGATCATGGAATCTTTTCAAGCCTCAGCTTTCTCCTCTGTAAAATGGGAAAGAAAATAATGCCTTACTTTACAGGATTGCTGATAAGAGTAACACAATTAAAGAGCACAATTAAAAGTGTTGTGATAGTTGCTCAACACACCCGTTCCTTCCTCCTGGGCACAGACTTATGTTTTCCACCCTTCTTTGCAGTTGCGTGTGGCCATGTGCCTGTGCACTAGCCAATGGAATGTGACCAGAATGATGTGTGCCGCGTCCGTGTAAAGCCCTTAAAAAAATCTCCACATGTAATTGTCCATGGTCCTCTTCCTTCTGCTAGTCTGATGCAGATGAGCAAAGTGAGGATGGTGGAGCTGCAATGTGGAAGGGGGCTGGGCCCCTGAATCACCACATGGAGGAGGGTCACTTATTAGTCAGAAACACAGTTTTGGACCTAACGTGAACAAATAATAGATTTCTAACACATCTGACCCATTGTCCATTTTGGAGTTTGCTTGTTATGGCACCTAGCATTACCCTAATTAATACCATGCTCAACAGACACAACTTCTTCCTTTCACTTCCCCCTTCTCGTCCCTCATGATCCAGCTCGAAATGTCAGCTCCCTGGTGAGACTTTCTCCAACCTCCTCAGGCAAAATTAATGAGTCACTCTGTCTCCGTGCTCCCAGGGTACTTACAAGCCATGACCCAGTCACAAACTGGGTTGTGAATTCTTTGTTTACACGTCTTCTCGAGGGGCCTGGCCCAGAGCTGGTATTCAGCAAGGGTCAGTGGATTGGGTGAGGAATGAGTACATGGTATGCAGATGCCTCAGATACACTTTCCAAATAAAGACTGAAGGCTGGATAATGTCTGCAAAAGGGTGTGGCAATAACACATTGACCTTCTTATCTAACCTCAAGTCTCAGAGCAAACTGTTGGCCTGGTTCTACCTCTGGGTCACTGCCAAGGACAGCTCTCAGTAAAGGCTCCTGTTTTTGCACTGGTACAAATTACATAGGTTTCATGGGCCCTTCATTTCCTACCACATAAGGTTCAAGTCTCAGCTCTGTCTGGAACTGGCTCTGTGGCCTTGGATGTGTCACACACTTACGTGCACACACGCAGACGTGTGCACACACACACACAGTGGCTCAGAGAGCTGTATCTGGGAGTGTGGAGACCACCCCTGACCTGTGGGTGGCCTAGGGCAGCTGAGATGCAGGGAACTGAGGCTGGGGGAGGCAGCTCTACAGCTTCTCTGAGGTCTCAGGTCAGCAGACTCCTGAAATGCCAGAAGCACGGGCCCAGTACTCAGCTCTCCCTGTCCTGGACAGCTTAGCCTGTCAGTCTTGCTGCCCCAAACTCCCCAGGGGAGGGCCACATGAAGACTTTCTGAGACCCTGTGTTTGGAGGAGATTCAGGGGCTGACCACCATTCACAAGTCATAATACTGAAAATACCGTAGTCTAATTGAATTCTGATTTTTCATGATTATTACTTTTATAATGTTTTTACAACATTACATATCAAAATCTTTTTAAAATGTTTTATTTTTCCTCATTTATTTTTGGGGCCCCTGTTTGCTGTCATCTTTAGCACCTGCTGGGCCTCCTGTTGTAGGATCCAAGAGGTAAGTGACACTCATCTTGAAACACCTTGAAAATTGTGTATCCCTGGTATCCATGGGAGTGGAGCCCAATTCCTGTCCATGTGGGTAGGCGCTAATACTTCCCCTCACACGTGACTGGAAAGGAGCCAGGTCTCAGAGCTGTAGCACCTCTCCTTAGTTTCTTTGGTGCCTGGAGGAGGCAGGAAGTCTTGCAAGCTGCTGAGTGTGGGGGTGAGGGCACGACAAAGGGCTCTGGGGATGGGGACAAGCGGGGAATGGAGAGGCTGAGCTGGGAGGAAAGCAAGCAAGGAGTGGCCTGTGGAAAATGCCACATGTGTCATCCCTTGGCCTCTGGGTGTGGCAGAAAAATGTGGAATAAGCCCAGGTGCTTCCTGATGTAGGGACCTCAGAGCAGTTCCTTGGGAGAGCAGTCTGATGGGATGGGGGAAGGGGGCTTGGTACTGGGAGCAAGGAGCTCCTGGTTGGCCTTGGAACCTTTCTTCTGATGTCTCAATAGGAGCAGTAAAGCAGAATATTTGGAAAGCACAGACTTTAGAGTCAGATTGCCCAGATCCAAATCTGGGCTCCATCATGCACTAGCTCCATGATCTCGGGGAAATCATCTAACATTTCTGAGACAAGAGTTGATCCAAACTGGAAGGGATCAAAAAGCCAACTAGTCTAGCAGACTTGTTTTACATATGATGCTGCTGAGGTCCTGAGTGGGGAAGGAGCTCTCCAAGAGTCCTAGCTAGTAGGAGGTAGAGTTGGAGCCTGAACCAAGGACTTCTGACTCCCATCCAAGTACTTCATCTAGCATATCACTGTGAACATTGGGCACAAACAACATCCAGCCACCAATCTCCCCATTTAACCATTCATACTCTCGCTCATCCATCATCCATCCACAAACCCACTGGGTCCTTCACTTAACCATTCATATAATATGCCATCTACCACCCATCTGCCATCCATCTATCCATCCACTCATCACCCATCTCTCCATCCATCACTCTATCCAACTATTCCTTATTCACCCATTTACCCACCATCCTTTCCATCATCCACCTATCCACTCATCTCTCCACCCATCTTTCCATCCAACGATCACAACATTCATCAACCCAAGTTGGTAGGGTGGGTGGAATGACTGTTGGGTATGTAACACCAACAGTGTTTGCCATAGGATGTGAGAAACTGCAATTGTTACTTTTAAAATTTGTATTGCTAATTCAATTCAAAGTGGTTACTGAATTGCTATTAACATCACAGCATTGTGTTAGCATTGCTGGCTAGAGGTAAGGGTTCCTAAAGCACCCCATTAAATATAAAACATTTTCCTCCTAAAGAAAAATGACAACTAAAAGCAACTCAAGGCCCTGGATTGGATCTTGGACTGGGAAAATAAAATAACTACAAAGGACATTATTGAGACAGTTGATAAAATTCTAATATGAATTGCATAATAGATCATAGTATATTACTAGAATGTTGGATTTCCTGATTTTTATAACTGTACTGTAGTTACCTAAGAGAATGTCTTTTTTCTTAGCAAATTTATACAGAATTATTTAGGGGTAAAGGGGCACAATATCTTCAACTTACTTGTAGAAAAAATATTTTTTATACATGTAAAATGTATATATAAACATTGCAATAGATAATGTAAAATATTCATATATAAGATATATCAAAGATTATGTATCTATTTTATATATATTATATATAATTATATATTATAGATAAATATGCTTATAGGAAGAGAGAGAAAGCAAACAAATGGAGCAGTTGGTGAATTTTGGTGAAAATTGATGAATTTTGGTCAAGTATAGAAGGGAGAACCTTGCATTATTCTTGCAAATTTTCTGTCTGTTTGAAATGATATAAAATAATTAAAAGTCAGTCCCCAAATGCACAGTCCCTTTCTCTTGGAGCTTACTGTTAGATGAGGGAGAGACCATGGAAAACCCAAATACATATGAAGAGGACAAGACCTATTAATCCATGAGTGTTCATGTTCCCTTTTTATCCCAAGCACTGTACGTAATGAAGAACCAGAGGGGAGAGAATGGAAGAAAAACCATAGCGGTGGGGCCAGGAAGAATCTGTAGAGAAGGCTTGTGAGAGCTGCAGCTCACCAAGGTACAGAGACCTTAGGAGGGCCAAAAGGAGCTACTGAGAAGTCTGCTAGGGGTTATGAATTTGATTGTCTTCCAAGAATCAAAAAACAAGGATTGAAGTGTCTTTTAAAGTTACTTTTGATTGCCAGACTTTCTTTGAGTACAACTTCATGAAAAGACTGATTCACATGGAGCCCTGCATTTTATCAGGTTGCCGATATATAATTCTTCCCCATCAATTAGTACTACAGCAAAGAGATCCCTGGGGAATGGGTTGGTTAGAGAAGCTCTACCTCCAGCAGTCACTGGAAGATGCTGGGGGTAGAGCTTGTGGTGTAAGTGGCAGTTGACTAGGCAGAAAGGAAGAGGAAGCCTTGGGAATCCGGGTGAGATAGGGGAAGCCCTGCGCTAGACTCATTTACCTACCTATATTTCACTTAATCTGTTCAACGTCCCTGCTAACTACTTGTCTTTTTACAGATAAGGAAATTGAGTCAAAGAGAGACTTGCCCACACCGCTGGCAGAACCAGGAACTGCATGATTCCAAAGACCTATGATGCCACACTGCCTCAGGAAGGAGGACCGAGGAGATGGCAGAGACAGATGAGGTGGGGGTGGGCCTGATGGGAAAGGCCTTGAATGCCAAGAGTATTAGCCCAGACTTTACCAACATAGATTTCCAGAAAACTACTTAGCAGGGAAGGAGCCTGGTGGATGAGGGATGTTAAGAATTGGGACCAGGGCTTTACAGTCTTATCCAGCCACAAGAACAGTGGTGACAAAGAAGGCCACCTCTTACAGGACCTGGCTGGCAGACCCCTTATGTTGATTGGGTCTCGTCAGGGTAGGAACTGCTTCTTTCACCATGACGTCAGATACCTTTAAATTCAGAGAGGAGGATATGTGTGGGCAGACTCCAATTGTGAACTTACCAGCTGCCACTTCCTGTTCTCTCCTACCACAGGATGGGGGGGCAGGCCCCCTCGCCTTCTTGCAGAATGGGTGATTATTGGATGCACACCAGCTGCTCATTCATCCAGCTTTCCTTCACACCAGCTGCTCATTCATCCAGCTTCCCTCTGCTTGGTGACATGGATGGCAGCCCTGTCTCCAGACCAAGCCCTTCCTAGATGGGCATAAGGGCTTGGCATGTGACACAAGGGGCCAAGAGAGGGCTGAGGTCTGGAGGAATGACTTAGGGCAGAATGAGGGGAGCAGTGAAAGCCAGAAAAAAATCATTTGGGGTTTCAGCAAAGTAGAAGAATTTTCTTGACTGGGCCAGGTCTCTCTTTCTTCTGTCAGCTGGAGGAGGACTATAAGGAGGCCCTACAGTATGGCTGAGTCACAAGATGGAAGGAGCCTGGGTCTCTGAAGGACAGTGAGGAGGACAGCTAACCAACTACCCTGAATGCCTGCTCAGGGCTAGTGTGAGCAGAATAACTTCTGTTGTAGGGATCTGTTACATGTTTAGGCCTATTTGTTATAGCAGTTAGTCTACAATACTGTCTACAATACAACCTGTATTGTAGGCTGAATCGCCAAGGTGTCATGCAAAGAGCACCCTATTCCTGGCTCTACCACCAATTTCCTCTGTCATCTTGGACCAGCCACTTTTCAAGGCCTTGATTCACCACCTGTGAGAAAAGAGGATCAGTTAGGTGATTTCCAAAGTCTCTGCTATCCTGTAATTCTCTTTTCTAAAAGGTGCGCAGCAGTTCTTGAGAACAAAAACCCAGCCAAATGTTTGACAAAATGCCTCACAATATCCTTACTGATAAGATGGTGTAAAATGGAACCTTGCAGGTTGTAGGTGGAGATAAGTCACAGCAGATAGATTAATGATGCCTAAGAGCATTGGTTAGTAGATCAATAACAACCTGGAAAGGAGGTCTCTAGTGACATTAATAATTTGGATGAATACAGAGAAAGGAAGCTGAACAAATATATGGAAAACACAAAGCTGGATGGCTTATAGATGGATGAGACTCAGGGTTCAAAACAGTTTTTATAAGGCAAGAGCTTGTGACAAAGGCAACAAAGGGAAACGAAGGAAGGTAATGCAAGCCCTGTAGAACTTAAGAGCTGGGGAAGGTTGTCTTGGCAACAGGCTTTAGCAGCAGGCTGTGCCAAAGTGACCTGGGCATTTTTGTTGACCGCAGGTTCTCTTGGAGACAATACTGGGCCACGGCTGCTGAAACTCCACTGCATCTGTGGATGCACCAAGCAGCCACACACTGGGTCTACATGGGGGCAAGAAGGAGTCAATCCTGAAGATCAGGCCATACCTGGGGTCTCCTGTGCCAATTAGGGGACCACTGATGCTTTAGAATAGAGGTCAGAAAACTCTTTCTGTAAAGAGCCAGGTAGTAAATGTTTTCAGCTCTGTAGCACAAAAGCAGTCATAGCCAATAGTAAATGAATGTGGCTGTGTTCTAATAAAAGTTTATTTACAAACATAGGTGGCAGGCCAGATTTGGCCCCGGGGCCATAGTTTTGCCAGCCCCTACTTTAGAAAAAGGACAGACATAAATGACCAGTATGGTAAGAGTTCTGGAGGTTGAAGCATATATGGATTGGTAAAAGAAGCGGGTGGGATGAAGTGCGGAGAGGTAGACATGCCCTATCAGTGGTCCCAGAGGAAAAAGAAGAATGAAAGGAAGTAACAGAAGGCTTATTTTCATTCATGTCAAGGAAGAACCTATAAAACAACAAAAGGGTAATCCCATATCATCAGAGGTGTGCAAGCAGAGGCTGAGGGGATGGAGGAATTGAGCTTGCTGTTCTTTAATGTCCAGTTTTGCTCTGGAGGGGAAGATTCTCAGCCTCCCATGATGGCCCTGTCTTCCCATCCTTCCCAGTACTCAGTGCTGAACTGGTACATCCTGCCCACACAGCGAGACATAAATGATACACTAGAGATACAACCACAGTCCCTTTGATCACAAGGCTCCTGGAGTCAGGGAGACATTTGTAGGGCTGGCTTGGTTGGAGACTTGTGGTGAGCCCCGTGGGTGTTGGAGAGGCCTCTGGCTGCAGATATGCTTCCCTACCTGCATGGGTGATAGAAAGCTGGCTCCTCAAATGGGGAGCCTGCCCTGGGACTGAACATTCAGAACTTAGTTTGTCTCTCCCCTGACAAAGTACAGATTGGGAAAGACCTGCTTCAGCTCTGGGGAGTGGTGGAGTGGATTGGGTGAGTTAATTTCTCTGGTCCTTCTGAGCATAAGGATCTTGGGGCAAGGACACAGCCACCAATGACTACAGATGGAAACACAAGCCTCCATATCAGTTTGGGCCAGCCCCTGGAAGGAGGCTCATGAATAAGACGGGGACCTCCAGGTTTCTTGAGGCAACATTCTGGACCCATTCCCTTCAGTTCTGTAAGGTTGTGACTGAGCTTGGAGAGGTCTAACCATTCGATCTACCATAAACCTGTGCAATGGGGGTACCACCCAGGGGGTTGGGGTTACTAGCAACAGAAACCCCGACTCAAATGACCGTAGTAAAGTAGAGAAGTAGCTGACTCACCACCAAGGGCATGAAGCTTCCAAATTAGTGAGGTGGCTGCTCAGGGAAAGGAACCCCCAATTCCAAGTGGCTTACGTCAACAAAGAAATGCATCCATTGTCTCAGCAACGATATTCAGTAACATGGGACCCCACCTCCCTGGCCACAGCTGATTGGACCAGAGGGAAGCACAAGACTAAAAGCAATTAATCAGTAGCCTGGTCAGCAGCCAGTGGAGTAGTCTGGAGGCGGAGCTCTGCCAAATTAGGGTGCCGGCAATTAAGAGATCCAGGGTGGATCTTGGGAATTTGATCTAGAGAGTTGGTTAGAGTGTGCGCCAGTCCGTGAGAGATGTGAAGACAAAAATCCAACCAAAGGTAGTGGTTAGAGGGAAATGAGCCAGAAGGATGCAGAAGCCAGGGGGAGCGAAGAGCCGGCAAGGTGAGCCTGGAGAGGAGTCGGCCATCTTTAAAGTCACGAATAGGAGATTCTTTTTCCCCAGAGCTGAAGCAGGTCTTTCCCAATCTGTACTTTGTTCTGGTCTTTTTTTTTTTTTTTTTTTAAAAGATTTTATTCATTTATTTGAGAAAAAGAGAGAGAGAGAGCACATGAGCAGGGTGAGGGGCAGAAGGAGAGGGACAAGCAGACTCCCCATTGTGGGGCTTGATCCTAGGACTCTGAGATCACTACCTGAGCAGAAGTCAGATGCCTAACCGACTGAGTCACCCAGATGCCCCTGTTTTGGTGTTTATGAGCTTGGTTGAGTGGTTCATCATGGAGGTCATGCCAAGTGACTAGCTGGTTGAGTTGCTATATTTGCTGCTGCCACAGTATCTTTAGATATGACCTACCATCAGCCTCTCACTATGACGTGGGAGGTTTTGAGGAGAGAAGTGAATCCCCTGGAATTCTACATTATTCTTTTGCAGGGTGATGATGGGGCATAGGCCAGACTTCCTGGGTCAGGTTCTCTCTCCCCAGGGTACCCCAGGAGGAATTAGGGGGTGCTGGAGATGACACCCAGGTCTCTGGCTTCCTGGACCTCCCAAGGCCATCTCTGGGCCTGAGACAGTGAGCCATCAGCCAGGGCCAGGGAGCTCAACCAATAGTGCCAGGGAGGTGTGGTCAACCAGGAAGGTCAGTGTGGGGTGCAAAGAGAGGGAAGGGGGAAGTGGGGGAAGGCCCTGGGGGGGTCTCTGGAAGATAAACATACGCTCCTATGTCTCCTGTCTTCCTCCCCCACCCCCGATTCCATTAGCAGCACCTGGTTTCTCAGACCAGGGAGACCATCCAGACACCATAGTGGCTGAGGACGTAGTCACTAGAGTCCAACCAAACTCCCGAATCTGCCATTTACTGTGTGAGCAGGGTAAGTCACCTGACTTCCCTGGGCCTCCACTTCCCCATCTGTAAAATGGGGATGATGAGAGAACTACCACACGCTCCATAAATGTTAGCCACTGCTGCTAAGAGCAAGGGCTCAGGAAGAGGAGTGGGGCAAGAGGGATTTAGAGAAAGGAGAAAAAGATGCAGAGAGAAACATTGAAAGAGGAAGGGAACGAAGAAGGCCAAGAGGAAATGTGGGGCCCGTTTGGGTGCAGACCTTGCCCACTTGGGGCCCCCTCAGGGCTCCTTTTCTTGTTCTTTCCTCCCCCATATAATCTCCCTGGAATTCTGAGGAATTCTGCTTCCACCCCCTACCCCCCCCCCGGTAGTTGCCATGGTGATGGAAACCTGGACCCAGTGGAAAGTTCTCTGCTTGGCAACGAGGCTGCAGCACCCTGCCTTCCGCTTGCCTGCCTGTGCGTGGGCAGCCAGCTACAACTGCTTCCAGATTTGGGGCCAGCGTGGCCTCTCTGTGGAGACCCAGCCCTCCCTCCCGCAGAATCTAGGATGGGGGCCATGGTGTGACTGGCTCCAACAGCCCTCAGAGAATATCTAGCTTATCCCTTTTCTACAGCTGGGACACTGGGGCAGGGGGGTGGTTTGGATGATTTGTCCAAGGTTGCACAAGCCTCCTGACTTGCCCAGGTCCTCTCTCCTGGGCTTAGCTGCCAGTCCAGCAGTGCTGGTGCACCTGAGGACATGACAGATGGGAGTAGCTACGTGACAGGCCAGCCCCAGAGAACAGGCCAGCTGCTGAGAGCCAGGGGGCCACAGGAAAAGAATGGGAGGCTGGGGAGAGCACCACTGCCCCCACTTCCCCCACATAGAGTGGTAGGTGGGGTTTATTGGAGTGCCATGTTTGTGTGCCTCTCAACAGCCCTGGTTTTCAACTGAAGTAAGAAGGTCACAAAGCCAGCCTTTAACAACCTCCTCTAGGCTTCCCCAACAGAGTCCCATTGCCCTCTTGGCTCCTCCCTCTGACCTTGCCCTTCCTCCTAGACTGAGCCTTGGTCCCCAGCAGGAGGCAAGCTGCCCCTATCAGGGTTGGTACATCTTGATTTAACAGGGAATCTCCTACCTTTCACCTCCCCAGGTACTTACGTGATTTTTCTTCTGTGGACCCCATGTTGTCAAAACCTTTGTCCCTTGAACAAACAGCCTTTATTGAGTAACTCTGCATACCATAACCCATTTCTGATCATCAAAGCCTCCTAGAACCCTGGCTTTGACTGCCCCAGAAGCAGAGACCTGGGGCTTGTGTGGTTGTGTTGTATATATGTGAGACAGTTCCAAGAGGTGGAAACTGACACTAGCTCTGGGCTTATGGTCCCCATCTCTCAGAACTTGGTAGGAGAAGGTTCCCAGTTTGGCAACAATAGAATTTCCCCCAGTTCCCATAAATACACCCCAGCAGGTAGGATGTGGACTGTCTTGGGAGCTCTGGCCACTGACCAGATTCAGACCAGGCTGGGTCATATCATGCCTATCCTCACTTCCCATGAGCCTTGACTGTGTCGACATCTAAGGTTACTGCTGAGAATCCAGCTCATGGAATACAGGGGCCCCACACCCTGTTTCTGGTAATGTGACTTGGAAGCATAACTATGTATTGGAGCAAAGGCCTTTCTTTGTGCAATCTTAGTGGCCCAAGAAGCTATTACCCAAAGAATAGGATAGGCTGGAAAATTCCCTTGGAGATAGACTTAGTCCAATGTCTTCATTACACAGAGGTTTGAGCTACACTCTAGAGCGGGCAGCGATGGCATAAGCAAGGGATGGGTACCAGGTTCAGGTTTAACCTCCATGACTCCTGAACTCTGTGGCTACAGAAGAATTGCATCATCTCTCTGAGCCTCAGTCTTCCCACCCATAAAATGGGACCCAGATTATCAAACACTGTTAATTCCTCCACCAGGTCATGTGTTCTTTAGGGGAAGGACCATGCCAACCTCTTACTTCTCTCCACCATACTAGCACAGAGAGCCTGGCATAGTAGTCCTGGCTTAATCAAAGGGTAGGAACAAACATGAGGGCATTCCTTCCCCAGACTGTCCCCCACACGTTCATTTCATTCGTTAACTCATTTATTTGCTTAACCAAAATTTATTGTCATTGCTTATGTGTGAGAGAGAGACTAGGAGCTTAAAATTTGTTGATGGGGTTTGGACAGGCGGTCCCCACACACTGAAATATGGGAAATACAGGACATTATGTGAACACAAAGGAGGAGATCACCGTCAGTTTTGCAGAGCCCAAGACTTCCCTGAGGAGGTAAAAACTCAGCCAAGACCTCAAAGATAAGAAGGTTTAATAAAAGCAAAAGAAGCAGAATTAGTTTCCAGGAAAGATAAGTGTAAACTGCATGGGAAGGGGTCCTGTGGGCCCACACAATTCCCCTCTCCCCACCTCTGTTTCTCAAACAATCTCATCCAGAGCAGAGACTAGTGATATGGTTCAGGACCACGGAGAGCACCACAGCAACCTTCTAGCCACCATTTTGGTCTTGCTAATCCTAAAGGGGCACAGCTCAGGCTAAGACCTGAGATGAAGAAGGGCAGGGTTTATGGGGGTTTGGGAACCACCAGGCTGGGAGCAGAGGAAGGAGAGTCTGGGGGACTCGCTGAGGTTCAGGGTACTGACTTAATTCTCCAGCTGGGTTGAGGCTGCACTCACAGACCGAGGGGAGCCTGGTGAGCAACTCCTAGGTCTGGGAACCCAGGAGCCCATTTGGCCACAAGAGAAACAGTAAGATGATTGAGACAAGTAGTTCTCAACTGTTTAGAATCAGAAATCTCCTTAAGAGTCTGATGAGTAATAAATTTAGAAACATAACATAATAAGTAAATTATATAGCATGTCAGAAGGTGGTAAATGCTGGGGGAAAAAGAAAAACCTTTCTCCTCACCCAAAAAAACCCCTCAAGTGAACCTAAAATTTTGGCACAATTTAGGAGGCTTTTTATTTAATATACCCCAGATCTTTGCAGATGTAGTTAAGAACCAGTCCCTCCCCAGTGTATAACCCACTCTGCATAAGAGTAGGGAAGGGGAGAGAAGGGGGTGGAGAAGGAAGCTGGGCCGAGTCTGCCTAGATCCCCAAGCCCAGTATGAGAGGGGGCCCCATGGTCTCTGACCAGCTCCTAGGGGAATCCTCAGGCTCCCAACTCCCTGACAAGCTCCTAGAGGCTCCCAGCTCCCAGCTCCTGACTTGCTTGTAGCCTCATCATTCCATTATCATATTTATTAATCGAGCACCTATGTCAGATCAGTCACTGTTCTAGATGTTTAGGATATATTAAGAGCAGAACAAGTAAAGTCAATACCCCCATAAAGCTTATATCCAGTGGATGGAGACAGGTAAGAAAAAAATAAAATAATGAAAATATATAGTATGTTAAAAGTGGTAAATGCTATGGAAAAAGAAAAGGGAAAAAAAATCTGGCAGAGTAAGAGGAATTGGGAGTGGCCATGATGGGCTGGGAAGTGGGGAGGCAGTTGCAATTTTAAATATGGAGGTTACAGTGGAGCTCACTGAGAAAGAGACCCTTAAGCAAAGATGTGAAGGGGTTGAGAGACTCAGCCATGCATACGTGAGGTTTGGGGACTGAGAGGGGCCCCAGGCAGAGGGAACAACCAGTGCAGAGGCTGTGCTGGAGAAATAGCAAGGAGGAGTCGGGGAGGAGGTGAAAGGGACAATGGGGGTCCAGATGGCAGAGAAGATTGCACCAGGGTAAAGCCAGAGCAATGGAGGGACCAGGTAGATTCTGGACTGATTCTGGAGGTAGAACCAACAAGATTTGCGGAAGGATCAAATGTAGGATGGAAGAGAAAGAGAAGAGTGAAAGATGACTGAAGTTTTAGCCTGAGCTGCTGGAAAGATGGAGTTGCCATCAACTGAGATGGGGGGAAAAGTGGGTGGGCAGAGCAGGTTTGGGAGGACAGAACAAGAGCTCGGTTTCAGCTATGTCCTGTTTGAGACGTTCGTTGGACGTCCCACTGGAAACACTGAGAAGGCATTTGGAAATACGATTTTGGATTTCATAGCCCAGGATGGCTGAAATGGAACGAGCCTATAAGAGGCTGCCTGAGCCCAGGTCCCCATCAGAGCTGGCACATCTCCTTCACACGTTTCCCACCACTGATTCCATGTCTCTGCGGTGGGTCATCGCTGTCTGCCCGGGCAGCCCCTGTATGTCTGAATAGTCCTGACAGAGAGAAGTTCTTCCTACACTGAGCAGACTTCCATCCCAGGGTCTCAGAACCACAAGAGAAGCTCAGTTCAAAGACGCTGTGACCTCCAGGTGTAAGAGATATAGAGGACTGACAAGGGTTCTTGATAGCTTCCCCGTGTCTGACTGCAATCTTTTGTAAGACCAATTTTCTCTAAGATACCCGGGGGGCTTTCCAATATGTGCTCCCTTTCTCTTAAGCTGGCTCTGGTGGTCTCTGCTCCTGCCACCAGAGACCTCTGTGCACCCAAGTCAAGTACTGACAGATGGGCTATGAAGATTCAGTGAAAGAAAAAATGTCAAATGCTTAGCTGGTGCCTGGCGCAAGAAGATGCTAGATGCAATGAAATAGCCACCTGTGACAGAGATAATCACCTGTACACCAGAAGCATCCAGAAAGACAGTGATGATGGAAGGAGAACCTTATGTGAAGTCCTAAGAGGTGGGTAGGAGTTAACCAGATAAAGAGGGGGATGAAGGGCTTCCCTGTCCCCAAGCCATCTCTTCTCCATACTGAGCATGTCCAGCTCCTGCCACACACCACTCCACCATGGCTAGTATGGTTCTGCTCTTTATTGGCAGCACCCAGGACAGAACCTTGAAAGAACATAGCACAGCATAGAAGTATGTGGGGACTAGAGCTAGATATTCAAATCCAGGCCTCATACTGGCTGTGTGACCTTGGACAAGTTACTTGACCTGTCTGTGTTTCTGCTTCCTCATCTGCAGACAAGGGGATAGTAAACAGGGCCTATTTGGTAGACTGGTTGTGAAGATAAAGTGGGATAATGCTGGGGTGCTTGGATGGCTCAGTCGGTTGAGTGACTGACTCTTGATTTCTGCTCAGGTCATGATCTTAGGGTCCTGGGATTAAAACCTGAGTTGGGCTCTGTGCTCAGCAGGGAGTCTGCTTCAGATTCTCTCTCTTTGTTCACGCATGTGCACACATGAGCGTGTTTTTTCTCTCTAAAATAAATAAAATCTTTTTAAAAAGTGGGATATGCCTGGTAAGAGTCTAGACATGGTGAGTCCTCAAGAAATGTATCTAT